AATGTAAGTGAAATGCTCAGAGCAATGTAAACTGCTGAAGTGATGTAGCCGTTCTGGAGAAGAGCAAATCAATGAAGAGTTTTCTTACAACGAATCTGTTGTTCTTACCGTAGTTATGGAGACGTGCATCATTGTCTGGAGATAGGCAGGCTGAAATAATTTTTTAAGAAGTGTAAGTATAAGTATTGCAAATAGTCTTAAAAATCTAAAAAGTACTCACAAGTTTGCTCATCAGCATCAAGTTGCCCCAAGCGCCGCAAAACTTGGCCACTGAAATGGCCCAGACGGGCATGGACAGCCAGATTGCTTTCCAGGGAACGTTCTTCCGCTTGCCCACATTGGTGTTGCTCACTGAGGCCGTCAACTTAATTTTCTTCAGCTCTGATTTGAGTATTCTTGGGTGCTTGTCCGGACTGTCGTAGATGGTGAAAATCCACAGGAAGAAGCACACCACACCGGCCATGCCAAAGACGTAGAACACCGATGGCCAGCCGCCTGCAAAGCCGTACTTGCAGAGGAAGCCTGCGATTTCAAACATAAAATGGTATTTATTATCACCAACAGCTTAATTCAACTTGAACAGGTCTTACCTGAGAAGACGGTAGCAAAGACTGCGCCAAAGTTTCCTCCCACCTGAATCAGAGCAAGCACCAGGCCGCGCTCATTTCGGGGAATCCAATTGGCGAGCAGTGCGTAGATGGCCGGAGTGAGAACTCCCTGCAGAGAAGTAAAGTTGTATGTTAATTATCATCCACCCCGGCAGCAGCCCCTTACCTGACAAAGACCTGTTCCGATGCGCAGGGCAATCAGCGCGTAGACGTTGAAGCGGGCGACAACGGGCGTGGCCAGCGTCAACAACGCTGAGATCAGCGTGATCGATCCACAGAGCCATCGGACGCCGATGTAGTCGGCCAGCTGGCCGCCGTTGAAGTTGGTGGCAATGTAGCCGTAGTAGAAGCTGCCCAGAATGTGCCCCTGCAGTGTCTCGTCCCAGAAGAATTCACCTTCCTGAGAATTGGGTATGAATGTTTACATGGCATTATGATTTGTTTACGCGTTTAGTTACCATTGAAGCATCGTCTCCACTTTGACCATTCCCGGTAACCGGACAGGTCTCATTGCTGGAGTTGTTGGCCGCCTGTGAGTGATTGACCATAGCCACAATGGTCACACTCATATTGGTGCGCATGATGTAGGAGATGGTGTTGGCTAGGGCCGCCACGAAGA